TGTCTCTGCAGCAGACCTGGGAGGAAGGCGGAGAGGGTGGGCCCCCAACTCGGCTCCAGAGTGGAGGTGGGGAGGTGCTCTGCAGCCCAGCGCGCTCCTGAAGGCAGGTGTGCCCTCGCCGCAGCACTTCAGAGCATCGCTCAAAGCAAGTATGCAAACTTGACAGGCGATGGATCATTCAAGCGAAGGCTGGACAGCTTGCGACCAGCCCCTTGAAACGCCCGAGTAACCGGGGGGCTGATGCTTCAGATAAGCCCCGATTCCTTTGTGGGGATTTCTGCAGGACAAGCATCCTCGTCAGCCTGGTGACCAGTTTCAGGTCAAGCATTGTGAGCAGGCCCCAGTGTTCAACCCCGGGCAGCTGACAGTCGCCTCTCCCTCTCTGGGCAGCCAGTCTGAGAGCTCGGCACATCCCAAGTGCAGTTTCAAGGCACTGCAGAGAAATGTTCTGGCTCGGCCAGAATAGAAAGCAATTCTTGAAAGTGCTCTTTGTTTCCCTGAAAAATCCAGGCTGGCATTCAGACTCCTGCTTGGGGTTTCACTCAAAGAAGTTAGGACCAAAGTGTCCGAATTCAGAGCGAAAGCTGGAAAGTTGGACTACTTCCTCGTGTCAGAGAAAGTACGGGGAAAGAAAAAAATACGCCCTGTGTAAAAACTTCATGCACGCTTAGCAAACCCGCAAGTCATTAAACGCAGCAAAAGCCATTAGTTCTGCAGGACCCACAAAAATGCCGTGCTCTCCCCCCGCTGACTCCGCAGTTTGCCAAAAACCTTACTGCCAGCCCAGCACCGCCGTGACTGGTAACGCTGGGGCAGAGGCCTGCTAAAAGGCAGCGGATCACGTTATTGTTAGAAAGAAACAAAACACGCTAATTCTGGCCCCGCCAAAGCACCATATTTGCAGAATCCGAGAGATCAAGCCCAGCAAAGAGCCACTTTGTTTCAGCCCCCGAGGAGGCCAATTCAAACTGGAGCAAAAGGAAAATCTAAACTCCTAACAGCCTCTGAATGACCTCGATTTTAAAAAATCGGTTCCTGAAGCAACACCTCTAGGTGTGTGTTCCTTTTTATTATTATTTTGCTTGAAACCAGAAAGCTGAGGGTCAGCAGCAAGAACCGCATCGCTGAGAAACCGTGTTGATTTTACCCAGCCCAGGCAGGCTGGGATGTAAAGCCCGTTAAGGTTTTATAGGCTGCCTGGATTTCCCATTCCGCAGATACAGAACCTGAAGCCCGCTAGAAGGCAGGCTGGAAGCAGCATTTTATGCACCAAATGAACGCTTTGCTTGCTGTTGGAGGGACAAAAAGAGCCGGTGTTCCGGCCATGCACTGGGCCAGCACCTCTCCGATGCCGTTTGCACACCCATAAGCGACGCTGCTCAGAGCGGCCAACCCGAACGGCTCCCACCTGTACTGGGCAGACTGGGGGGGGAGGCTGGAGAAGGTGCTGAGCAGTTTCCCTGCTGCAGCCAGACTAACTACGTTCCCAGGCTCTGCAGAGGGCTTAGGGGGATGTCAAGCAGCATCAGCACTGACCTGTGAACAAAGTGCATTCTTGTGGATCTTCTTGTAAATAAGAGCTGGGCAGATAAAACAAATGAGGCTTCCCATCGTGGCACCTGTCAGGCCCAGGACTGTTTCCACTGGCAAAGAAGAGCAGAAGTCAGCAAAGGCCCCTTCCAGGACTGCCAGAGCAGCAGCACATGGTGGCTGTCTGAGCCCCCGGCCAGGCTGGGGCACAAGCCCAGCCAGCCTGGCCATCCTGCCCAGAAAAGCAACCAAAAGAGACCACAAAAACATACCCCAGCAACCAGCCCCTTGCCCCCAGCTCCTCACTCACCATTCGGGATCATGATGCCTCCTACCATGGTTCCAAAGACAACCGCCAGGGTCAGGGCTTTGAACCGGAGCGGGGGCATGTAACCCCCAGCAGCGAAGGTGCCATCTTTTTGCTGGAGGAGAAGAAAGAGTTTAGCTCCTACACCACAACCCCACAGCTCCCAAGCAGCCACCCCAGCAGGCTCCAGCAGCCTCGTCACCTCCACGCTACGGTCTCCACGGAGGTGACTGCTAGCGGGGGCATTTAGACGTGGTTGAGCATTTTTAATACACAACTGCATCTGAACCTTGGAAACAAGAGTGACCGGGGGCACGGAGCCAAAGCTGCTGTTTCCATCCTGCCCCAAATGTGAACCGTACAGCTGTGGCCGAGTCCCCTTGCCAGTGCTGCGGCCGCCCAGCCTCAGCGAGCAGCCCCAGGGCCAAGGGCACGAGAGGGAGGTGCAGCTGAGCAGGCACGAGGGAGAACGCTCACGGGGGAAGAGCTCTGGTTTTACTGTGGCAAAGTGTCCCCTGGCCCCCCCAGGAGCAGGGCTATTCCCACCGCGTTACAAAACCTGTGCCAGCTCCTCCGCCCTGACAAAGACACCCCAGCCAGATGGCCGAGAGAAGGGTTGGTGCTTCGGGGGAGCTGCTGACACTCAAGGGTTTCCAGAGGCCCTCTGCTCCCCATCCCATCCCCACCCTCCGAGCAGGAGGTGTGGAAATCTGAGGACCCAGTGAACCCACGTGTCCTGCAGAACCAGCGGGTCCCCGCTCTCCTGGCTCGCAGATGGGAGAGGGAAGCAGAGCGACATGTTCAGAGCCCAGAGCAACGCGCTGAGCACAGGCGAGAACCAGAGTCTTCCCAAGCATTTCCTGCGCTTACTCCTCTGCACCCGCTGGCTTTCACCGATCATCTTCCCCCAGCCCTCAGGCTCTCCCGACGTGAGAAAAGAACCGGGGGCTTCTCACAGGCAGAAGTGGCAGGATTTAGAGCTATAAATTGCTCAAGTTTTATTTCCTGCCCTAAGAGGTTTCTATTTATGCAGATACACAAAGGCCTCAGAACATTCCCACAATCTCTTACTGTTATTTACTGAATACCATCGGCATGCTTAGTGCCGTACAATACACAGAGGAGAACACGCTACTGCCACAAGGGACTTACAGTCTACATCAGACAGACCAACTATAGTCACAAAGGCTGTCTGAAGATCTGACCCTGGGAAAGGTGAACGTGTGGGAGCGGGCTGTGTTCCACCCCAGGCTTCTGCACCGGGCTGGCACCGAACAGCCAGGGCCGGCACCGGAGGACGCGGACATCTGAACCCGGAGGGGAGAAGGCTGCTCAGGGAGCTACTGACAGAGGTGCGAGGATAAGAATAATAATAAATGAGCAGAAAGGAGCAGGCACAGGCAGAAGCAAGAAGAAATGAGGCTAGACTGGGCTCTGAGGCCAGGAACAGAAGCTTGAGCTACATGCAAAACAAGCTCCAGCTGGCCAGCAAAGGGATGCCAGCTGGAGCAGCAGGAAATAAGGAGGCTCCTCTGTTTCCACAGGCACATCTCCCTCTCTCCGAGGGGCAGAACCACCTCGGCTCTCAACTGTGTCACACTCGGGTGCGAGAGCCGAAATCCCCAGCGGAGCAGGGCGGTGGCAGCCATGGGACTCGGGGCACAGCAGAGCCACAGCAGGCTGCAGGCTCGCAGCTCCAGCCCATGGAATTCCTCTGCAGAGAGAACGAGAACCTCAGTGTCCCAGAGATTAACCATTTTGCAGGGCAGGATTTACAGACTGCCACGGGCCTCCTGCTGCACCGCTACCGCACAGCGGGCACTTACGATTTCGCTGTGAGTTGAGGGTTTGTCCCTCTGGACAGCGAGCACCTACCCCAAGTCGGAAATGGGCAGCTGGCAAGGGGCTCTCACAGAACCAAGGCACGTCTGGAGCCCAGGTTGGCAGCCAGCAGCAGAAGCCAGAGAGTCGCAGCAGCCCTTCAAAAAGCAAGTTTCAAAGGTGCACACCAAGGCAGCCAGCTGCTCCTGGCCACACGAGAGGCTCTTACCTGCTGCTCAAAGAGAAGGGTGTTCAGCGCCTGTCTGCACGGCAGAATCATCATCGGAAACCCCACGGCTACTGACATCATGAATCCCACTCGGATCATCTCCGTCACGAGGTTGGAAGGGAAGTTCATTAGGACGTTCCCAGCAATGGCTTCAGTGTAACTCACGTAGCCAAAGAAGCCCACCTGTCCGGCAGGAGGGGAGGTGAGCGGTGCAGTTTGACTCCAAAGCACATTCATATCTGACCGTTACAAAAGGCTGGAGGTCGGCGACCCCCCATGAGTTAGGACCCTGGGAGGGACCGTGGGGCCGCCTCCGTGGGCACCCCGCCAGCAGCCCCAGCTGCAGCACCCCCAGAAGTTGAGACAAATGGTTAAAGAATAGTGGGACCTTCCTAAAAGCAGAGGCAAGCTTCTCACCATACACGGGGGGCTTTCATGGAGGACATTGTGGTGAGGGAACACCGCCATGGCCCGTGACACAGAGCAGAGACACTCTGCTTGCTGCCATGCCCCCAGACCGGCCCGCTCCAACGAAGGAGGGGCCGTAACGATTCCCCCCCAGCAACCCAGCTCCCTGGGCAGGCTCTTCTCAGAAATTATTAACTCAGTTTTATTAACTGGTGCTTTATGAGGCATAACTTCCTTCACATCCTCCCAATCGCAACAAGCTGGAAGAAGCTCTCCTAAACTCTGGGCAGCATCTCCAGGCCCTGGAAGGCAGAGGGCAGGCTGATGGGCACGGAGGAGCTGGGTCCGCATGCTGCCTCCGCCTGAGGAAATGCGCTACGCTGAAAATCGGGACTCTCCAAATGCCTCCCGCACTGTTCGGTTCGTCACCTCCCATCTAATTTTGCTTTCAGCAAAACGACTTCTCTTTCAGAATAAATACAGATAAGGAGAAACCAGCCCCATCTGCACATAAACCATCATCCCTGTTGCCCCTCCAGAGCGTGACTTCTGGCAAGGAAAGAGAAGGGGAAGTTTCTTACCGTGATGTAAAAGGTGGTGACCACGTTTAGGGAAGAAGCAAATATGGAGCTCATGATTTTAACAGACGGCTCATCCAAGCTATCATAGGTAGGCAAGACCTGACTGTAGAAAAGGGTAAATTATTTAAGGAAACCTTCTGCAGAGAGAGAGAAAAACCCAACTCCAGCACGTTCCCTGCCTCAGCCCAGCAGCAAAGAATCCCTGACACCTTCCCTCCCTGCAGCATAAACACTCGCTGCCATTCCACAATTTATACTGCTAATGCCAAGAGATTTCAGAACACTCATAACTTTAAGTGTTGCAAAAATATTCCTGCTCTCCCCACCCCACCACGTGGAGCTAAACGTGTGATGTAAACATTTTGGTTCAGAAGTGTTGCAAAATGAATGACCGTTTGTTCCAGTGAAACACCAGTGGCACCACGCCAGGCAGCGCCTTGGAGATTATTGTTCTTGGAGCTCTCTGCGCCGATAATTAAAGCGACGCAGTGTTTACAGAGTAAAAGCAGGAAGAAGGTTAGAGCATCGCACTGTCTAAAGGAAAAGTCAAACAAACAAAACCAAACGCAGCGCCTGTCCCATCTCCGCGCTGGTGCTGGAGCTCAGTTCATGCAAAGCTGGGAGCGCCAATTACACGGGATTTGGGGTATTTACAGACTGGGAAAGCATGTGGAACGTGCTTTTTGACATCAGGTGCTATTTTAGCAACTCATTAACCTCTTGTTACTTTAATTCAAGTGGCTACATCCTGGCTTCAGGTTACTGAAGGAACTCTCATGGGAACAGGGGGGCATCCCGTTAGATGGGAAGGGGGTATCCCCAGCTCCAGCGGGCACAAAGCCATTAACAGAAAGTGCGTCAGGCTGAGGCCAAGCCGAAAAATCCTTAACCCTTCATCCCTTAACGTTAGTCCAACGGTTCTGCACGAAGGAAGCTGAGCACGTCGGCTCGCAGCGACTCGCGAGATGCGCAGGGTCTGCAGACGCAGGGAGCGAGGAGCCCAGCTCCCCAGCAGCCTCACAGTTTCGGATTCCTCCCTGCCCTCAACGCAGCGACATCTGCTAGATTAACTGACTATGTCCCAGACTCCAGCCCCGCAAGAGGAAGCGGGCCAGCAAAAAAAATCAAGGCCCAGGAAGGAGAAGAGAGGGAAGCAGAGCGGCTCCGCAGTGCATGGGATGGCACGGCCAGGCCAGGTCCGTCTCGGTGCAGGAGCAACAGCAGTGACACGGGGACGAGCGCCACGTGAAGTCCAGCACGTCCTCCCCCCGATGGCCCCCGTTGGGTCAGCTTTGGTTTGGAGGACCAGCACAGCGTCCCTCGAGCCCCCCACGACACCCAGCTGGGCCCCCCTGCCCACTGCCGCCTCTCAAAGCAGAGCAAGAGGACACGCAGCAGGCAACAGGCAGCGTGTCCTGACACGCCCGGGGTTTATTTTTAAGCAGAACGACTGCACTGCAGGCCAGCGAAGGATCAGGGACCCTTCCCCACGTCACCTGTGACACTGCACCTCGAAGAGCGTGTGAGCAGATGGCTCCTCCTGAGCAGGGAGCAGACAAGTCCACACAAGCACCGAGAGCGGACTCGGAGAAAGCAGCCCTGCTTCAGAGACGGCCAGAGCCACCTCGGAGTACCTGGTCTTCACCCTCCCTGTACTGACCGCCCTGCACAGGCTCTCCGAGCGCAGCAGGAACTTGGCCTGCTGGGAGCTGATGCTCGCAGAGGCAATGAACACCCCCCTGACTTCTATTATCCCTCTGAATTCAGCATCTTTGCATCCATCTGCACCAGAACAGCCAGCCCCGGAAATTCAAAGTTTTCTTCTGGAAAGCTCCGCTGACTCCTCTTTAATCAGAGGGTTCAGTGACTTGACCAAGGTCACGCCAGGAGGTAGCCCTGGAGTCCTCACCCTCCCAGCTCTCAGCTCCACAGCAAATTTCCACGCTGTGTAACTGCAGAGGAGTGACCTACTTTGCAAGTTCAGCAACCACAAGATAGCTTTTCTAGAGCGAAGGGTATTGAACTCACAAGCAAAGTGGGGTCAAATTTTTCAAGCTAGAATAGTGTATTTATTTGTCCTTACTGTATGCTGCATTTACGTGCTGAAGGAAAAGGATTTCTGCTTTATGTTAGAATTATTTATTTTTTGAAAAGGTGATTCAGAGGTTAGCAAAATTAAACCTACCTAGCTGAGAATAACATGCTTATAAAGGCTGCCTGGGCTGGACAGCCTATCGCCCTGATGCTCGGAAAAAACGCGTAGCTTTAGGTTCGGCTTGCCACATAAGTGCTGTAATGAGGCCTATATTTAGGTACGCGCACACTGGTCCAGACCAAACCATCTCCCTGCATGTCCAACTCCCAGCAAAATTGTGCTGGGTACTGTGGGGCTACCATAGGAAAAAAAAAAAGGAATTTAAAAACTCTAAAATGTTAACAAGGTAAAGCTGTAAAAGAATACAATTCCCTTCGCCAGTTGTAATGGAGACAATAAACAGCAAGACTGGAGCGTGTTCGGGTAGGAACCGAGCTGCCAAGAGAGCTGGTAAGTGGAAAATGACGATTTGGATCTTGCATGTGGGTGTAAACACAGCAGTCTGAACAAATTTTATCCATCACATTCATTTACTGTTGGCATGCTACCCATTTGCTGGAACTACAGGGGGGAAAGCCCAGCTCTGCCAGCCTTCCAAACGAGGACGGTCTTTTCCGTGTCCATGTTTGGATTTACACTTCTATTTAAAGTCTGCACTATTCTGGCCAGGCACGTACCGCTCACTTGCCGTTTTGGTGCAGGAGGTAGTGCTGCTAGCGAGGTGAAAACAGCCTGGTCTGCCGGCACGTCCTTCCACGTGCCAGGGGAAACCCTCATTACAAGCAGGTAACTGGAAATGCGCGAACACCTCTCCAAAGCCAATGACTGTGCGATCTTCCGAGTACTCTCCAAGAAATCCGGGGAAGCAGCAAGCAGCTGCGAGCTCATGCTACCCGGCAGGGAGCCCTGCGGCCACTGGGCAACACAGCCCCGCTGCCTTCCCGGTACTAAATCACCCCCCTGAAGAAACAGGGGAAATTCATCCCTTCTGCAGCTGTACCAGATGCAACGTGCAGCACACTGAGGATCTGTCTGGCCTCAATGATCTTGTGTTGCTCAAGTACAGTAACTCCCCAGTGAAATATAACTCCCTCCCCATCTACGCAACAAAAGGGTCACAACTGTACTTCAGTGGGCTGTAAAATATTCGGATTAAAATAAAACAGGAAACCAGATGGTATCTATCCCTTGCAGATCCTCGCGACCCTCTGCCCTCAGAAAAACTCACTGCGCACTACAGCTGCCAGCAGCGGGAATGGCAGGTACTTACGACTGACAGGCGAAAGACATGCCGAAGATGGGGATGCAGCGAAAAATGCCCTCCCAACGAGTGTAACTAATGCGCTGCAGCCACTGCCCGCTGAAGAGCCCGTGCTTGAAGGACGACAGCACAATCTGCAGCGAGGAGAAAGAAAAGGGGTTAAAATCCAACCCAAAGCAACTTGATGGCAGCAGCAATGCCGATGCTGGGATAAAAGGCAGCGCGCGGCAGCTCTGCGAGGAACAGCTTACGCTGCCTACCACAGCCCGATCTCTATCAGTCAAATTCCCCAGCTCCCCACCCCACCCACGCGCTTCATTAAAGCTCCCAGCAACCTCGCAGGGCCCCTTGCCACCGAGGATCCTGGGGTGTGTTTTAAAAGATCTACGACATTCCCCCCTTGTTCGATGCCATCAGACATCATAGCTCGCACCAGGAGGAACAATTTCCACTGACACATTTAACTGTGAGAATTATCGTTCCCAGCAATTTCTTTTGCGCTCTTTTAAACACGTTTTTCAATCCGAACGGGAAGCGACATTCGCCTTGGAGAATCCTGTACAGCGGAGAGAGACAAAGGTTCCTAAAGCAGGACCCCACCTGCACGCCGCTGCTCCAGAGCCGTCGAACAGCCCCAGTTCACCACAGACAAGGACAAACTTCATGAAAACAGGGGGAGGGAGGCACCCGGCGAGGCCAGGGTGGCTCTTTGGCTATTGACAGGGAACCTGGCAGGCATTGGGTTGCACAGGAAACAGAAGGTAAATATGTCTGAATGCCTGTTTATAATATCGCCTGAATGGGGGTTTTCTAATCCCCAGAGATTACGTTTGAGTGCAGCCAACTCTCATGAAATGTTGTGGTTTTCTTAAAGGCACAGCTCCTGAAACACGGCAGTTTCGTAAAATGCTCATTTACAGTCTCCAGCCTCCTTCAGAGGCAAGCTCGGAAGCGTGACCCAGCACAACCTACTAAAAAAAGTCAAGTGGAAAGAATTTCCACACCTCCCTTTTCTTCCTTTTGTTTCAGCTCTTCCAGCCCTGAAATCTGGGAGAGACATGGCTGGGGCGGCACCAGCAAACCACACGAGCATCTGCGAGGTGAAACCCGAAGTCATTAAAGGGCGAGTGAAAGTCTGCACCTCTCAGTAAACGGTGCTACAGAACGGGGCTGGGCCAAGCCAAACAGGGCCAGCTTGAGGTGACTCTCGGTTTACTCTCCTTAATCCAAACGGTCAAGATCGACTCACCTCAGCAAAGAAAAACTTCTCTAGAAATATCTAAGAACAAGTACATGCCATGTACCAGACTTGAGACTTTACAAAGCTTTCAGTGCTCAAGAAATAGACGTGCTGGTGTCTAACAAACAAAACTACTCACAGCCGGAAAGCCATTAACCACCGGCTGCAAAAAAGCAGGCAAAGCACGCGCTCGAGTTCTGAACAAGAGCCGCCTTCCCCCACAGATTAGAAGCACTGAGGTGTTCATGGCAAAACACAAACGCATGACGAAAGTCCTTCTGCTTCCAGGCACTCTTCCCCACATCTTCCACCCTTTGATTCAAAGTTCAGAGCCCCGGATTAAAAGACACCAGCAAGCAGAATAAACCACAACTCGATTTGTGGGTTATTATCATGGGTGCCACCACAGCCTCCAGCACCCGTAACAGCTTACAGACCCAGCGGCCAGCTTCTACAGCCTGTACCTCCCCACCTCCAGGGCACGGGCACCCAGATCACTTGTTATGCCCGGCACTAGCAGCACTAATTATCAGGAAGGACATTTTAAACTTGAGGCCTGCACCTGCAGGCTGTCCCGGTGGGAACATCTGTGTTAGAACAATAGGAAAACAGCATTGCCAGCGCCGATACTCACCACGAACATGAACACCGTGTAAAAGATCAGAGCCATGGCACTGAAGGACTGTATGGAGGCCATCATGTTCCTCTGGAGGCTCAGCGGAAGCACAATGCACAGGGAGACGGCAAAGAGCAGGACTATCCGGAAACTGCCCGACACCTGGAAAAGGGAGCTGCATAAAGAACTGGAGCAGGGAGGATACTCGGAGCATCCCACCAAATTAGCAAAGCAGCTCCCTGCTGTGGTTCATTTTTCCAGAGTGAGGAACAATGCAAAGCCAGGATCGATTTCAAACACAAAATTCTGCTCCTGTACGTATCGCAAGATTTGATGCTGCAAGCTTGCCATTTCCTTGGCTAGGTCTGTGATTAGCTCGTACAGTCACTGGGTGCCACTGTTGCTCTACACAGCGCGTGACAGGTCCATGCTCAAGTGGAAGTACTGGGGGGAGTGTTTAAATGCTAATCTAGCACAAGCTATTTCAGTATTTTCATGCAATTAAATCAAAACTAAACTTACTTGGGAGATAAGAGATTGAAGTCTTGAAAATTCTGATCCAGAAAATTAATTGAAACCTCACACTGGTATTTATTATAGCAGAACACTCTGAAATGTTTGGAAATGCTTCATACCTAATTTGGCTGCAGCCACAACGCATCTTTTTAACTTCACAGTCCCTCGGTCAGAGCTGAGCAGCATCAGGCAGAGCAGATAACAGCCCCACCAGAAATCCTTCCCCATGTCCATCCCACTGCTCGCACCCTGGCTCGCAGCGTGCCAGGAGGAGCAGCAAGAGGCTCCTGCCCACGAGGAGCACCTCAGGCCACCTCCTCTGGCGCCAACATCCGGCTCATCACACAGCTTGTTTTATCTTCAAGGGGAGGCAGATGCGCAGCAACTTTAGCCACCAAAACAGCCAGGGCTGGGACAAAAACCCCTCTCGAACTAGAGGGCTGCAAGGGGGTGAGAGCTCGGACAGAGTTAACTAAGGAATTCATCATAGAAACATAGGTTGGAAAAGACCTCTCAGATCATCAAGCTCAACCATCCACTCAACACCCCCACACCTGCTAAACCATGTCCTGAAGTGCCACATCGACAGGTTTTTTGAAGCCCTCCAGGGATGGGGACTCCCCCACCTCCCTGAGCAGCCTGGTCCAATGCCTGACCGCTCTTTCAGGAAAGAAATTTTTCCCAATATGCTATCTGAACCTCCCCTGACACAACTTGAGGCCATTGCCTCTCGTCCTACTAAGACAGGAAGTATCATCTCCCCCAGTAATCTGCTCCAGAATTAACAGAGACCAAGTTTAAAAGAATTCCTTTGTTGGAAGGGCCTTACTGGAGGTTTTACGCATCTGATTGTTCGCCATATGTCTGGGCTCCCAGGACTTCACAGAGCCGAACGCTCTGTGCGTGAGGCGAGCCGTTAAAGCCCACCACGAGACGACCCCACAGCGCCTGGCAGGCTGCTGAGCCCTCTGCCGAGGCAGGACGCGCTTTGCTGTACCTCAGGCACAGGCAGCTCGACGCAAGAACTGGGACCACCGTCTGCATGGCGGACGCGATCCAGTCAGGATTTATTTACCTGAAATCCAAGCAGCCGGGCAAAGAAGTTGGACCCCAAATCGCCAATGACAACGTAGAAAGCAATGCAAGTTCCCAGCATCAGCCCGATCATGCTGCAAAAACAACAAAATACACGCGGGTTAGGAGGCAGGGGCAGGAGCCCTGCGCCGCAGCCCCTGCTCCCGGGCAGCTCTGTGGCCACAGGCACACTCCCC